CGAGATGGCAGCAGCGACCCCGAGATTTCGGTAGCGACCCCAAGATGGCGGCAGCGACCCCGAGATTTCGGTAGCGACCCCGAGATGGCGGCAGCGACCCCAAGATTTCGGCAGCCACCCCGAGATTTCGGCAGCGACCCCGAGATGGCGGCAGTGACCCCGAGACGGCGGCAGCCACCCCGAGATTTCGGCAGCGACCCCGAGATGGCAGCATCTCAGCTCATACTCTGTGTGAGAACATTAGCTGCCGTCACCGTGACAGCAGCATGGTGCTGCTTTGTGATTATTTATTCTCCCACCTCGTTTCCATGGTTTCCAGAGACACACCTCCTGATAACCATCACTCTAAGTTTATAGTCACTATAGGATTAGTCAGGAACCGTGGAATGACTATGGTCCTACACTCCTTTGCGTGAAAAACCATGGGCAAGAGAATTAAAGAGAACTTTAAAAATGAATCAAGAAATAAAGCCTTTACATTGGAGTCATAACAAGTGGAGATAATAATATGGAGAATTTGGCAAGTGAGTCAAATGCAGCTTTTTTCCCTACAAACAATGCAACATTAAGTCTATAACATCACTAAAGATAATGACGTTATCTGAATAGAGGTACAATACCTTTATACGAGTATGTTTAAAAAAACAAGCCGGCCTAGCCTTTGGAGAGTATTAGCTTACTGAACATACAGAAATTCAGCGACACTCACACATCCAAACCCTGCTCTTCAGCTGACTTTGCCCCTGAGATACAGTAGCATCACAATATGGCTGCTTCGTTAGCCAAGGTAAATTAATAAGCCGGTAATAAGACATGACTTAGCTGACTAGCTATCGATCAGCAGTGTGCACTGTGCTTAATGAATAGTCACCGGTAGGTCATTACATCACGGCAGCTGTCATGGGGTCAGGGGCTGCTCCCCCAGAGGACTGGGAGTATCTGCGAGGGCCTCCGCCCTGCCCTGCCTGAAGGAGGCTGTATGGTCAGACCCTGAGCAGATGGAAAGCTGGTCCTGGTCCAGGATGGCCAGCTGCTCCTCCGGCTTCTCCTTCCTCAGGTAGAAAAGCCTCCTCAGCTGCTTCAGCTGCTGCAGCTCACAGAAGGTCTCCAGGACCACCAGCATGGCAATGAGGCCTAGAAGCAGGTAAACTGGGGAAAGAGCACAGATCTGGGTTTACACACCTGCTGTCTCCAAGGCCCTTTAACCTTAAAGGGAGAACTAGTGTCTGCACCAAGAAAGCTGTCACTCTGCCCTGCCTTATTTCCATTGGCCTAGTTTAAAGAGTGACTGGGATAATGAACGAAGAAACAGGCAGAAAACACAGCAGTGTTTAGCACATACTCAGCGAGGGAGGCGTCACACTGTGAGGCATGTCTGATCAGACTGCATCAGCACACAAAGGCACACACACACACCCTGATCAAAATCCACCAGAAGGTCAATACACACACCCTGGTCAAATCCCATGAGAAAGTCAACACATGCACGCACACACCCTATCACTTCACTTGAGAAAGTCTAAACGCACACACCCTGATCAAATCCTACGAGAAAGTCAACACACACATAGATACACTCTGATCACATCCCTGAGAAAGTCAGCATGCACACACACTCCCTGATCACATCCCATGGGAAAGTCAACACACATACACCCTGATCACATCCCATGAGAAAATCAACACGTGTACACACACACCCTAATAACATCCCATGGGAAAGTCAAGATGTACACACTCATGTATGACATCTGCTGCCATTATATATCCTAAATATGAGGGTGTGTAGCTTTGTGGTTAGGGATTGTCCCTGTGTCCAGAAGGTTGCAGGTTTGAATCCTGTGGCTGTCAGAGCAATTCTTCAGCAAAGCCCTTGTTGTTCCAGGTGTGCAAGATGCTGCCTGACATTGGTCTCTGACTCTGACTGGCTTTCCTCACTTGTAAAAGGTTTTTGGCAATAGTGTCTTCTAAATAAATAACTGAACTAAATGCACGCTGGTGACTGAGCTCACCTGTGATGGCAACTTTGTAGAGTTGCCGGTACCTCTGATTGTGTCCCTCTCCAGGGACATAGTCGCCCAGTCCAATGGTACTGAGGGAGATAAAGCAGAAGTAGAAGGACTCCAGGAAGTTCCATTCCTCCTCAAGGACAGAGAATATGATGGCAGGGACAATGAAAAAGAGAGTGACAGAGAGGACTGCCAGCACTACTGCGTGGGCAGAAGCCACCCTGGAGTGGGTCAGTGCCCAATGCTGCTGGGCATACTCCACTGGACGTCTTGTGGTGAAAACCATGATCCTCTGTACCACCGCAGTGAGGAAGAGGAGGGTGAAGGGGATCCCAATCACAGAATACAAGATGCAAAATGCCTTGCCTCCATCAGACAGAGGAACTGTGTGTCCATAGCCTGCAAACAAACAGAAATACTCATTTAAAGTGTCAATGAAATTACAAAGAATACCGGGGAAAACAAGCAGATTCTTCATCAATTACAGGTCAGCTTTCACTGGAGGCACAGAGGGAAGCTGTCTTCTTATTACAGTATTATAGGGAGACTCAGGGCTCTGAAATAAGGTAACAGGTTTAGAGTAGTTAGTGTAGATGACCTGAAACTAGAGATGGACTCAGTCACCACTGCAAAGACCATGCTGTGGAGAAGCCTTAAGATGCAGAGGATCATGGTGAGTTCTGGAAGAGTGTAGTTTATATGGTCGCCCGGATTCAACGTCAGCTTGACAGTACCCAACCATCCATCCATTTTCTGACATTGCTTACCCTATTCAGGGTGGCGGGGGGTCCGGAGCCTATCTCGGAGGTTACTGGTACAAGGTGGGGAACGACCCAGGATGGGGCACCAACCCATCGCAGCTGATCTACTAATTAGTAATATTAATAATTAAGTACCTATTAATAATATTTAACAAAAAAGCTAAACGTTAAGCAAGAAGCAGATACAAGGGGCAGCAGGATCTGAGAATACTCACGGTGCTCCTAGCTTATCCAGAAATAGTGTCCTATGGTGTCGTCCAAATTCAGACTGAAATAATTCATTAATATTGTTTCCCTGTGACGTCCTTCCTGCCCCCCCTTCTGCCTGTGACGTCCTTCCTGTCCCCCCTCCCGCCTGTGACGTCCTTCCTGTCCCCCCCTCCTGTCTGTGATGTCCTTCCTCTGCTGTACCCGGGAGGATGGGCTCCCCCTTTGAGTCTGGTTCCTCCCAAGGTTTCTTCCTTATATGAAGCTTTTCCTTGCCACTTTCGCCTCTGGCTTGTTCTCCGAGCACATTGGGGACAGTTAATATAAAGCGCATTGAGAGATTGTAATGCTGTGAAAATGTCCTATACAGATGAAATTGAATTACATGGAGCTCCCAGGTAAACTCAGACCATTGACTGCATCTTCCACTCTGCCACTTTAACCCTTCAGCTGTGTATTTAATAAATAAACGTTGACTTCATGTGTGTCCACGTTATCTTAGACCTGTAAACAGGCTGCGGGTACGCGGGATTTTGTCGCTGCATATCTGGCATTGTGCTGATTCATGCCTCCCTCATAGCCACGCAGTGCTCAGCGTAAAAGCGCAGGGAGTCTGTAGGTCGGATGCAGTTTATGTCACTGCAGAGCGGGGACGCGCTTTGTCCGACGTGAAGGACACAGCAGTGCATAACCCTCTCTAAACATTATAATATTCAGGAATATGAGCGTTAGGTTACGTTAAAATTTTTGGGCGCGGAGGAAGAACCTAACTCCATTTTAGAAAAAATAATGAATCATGAAACGATGACATTAACGAGGCGGATGTGGACAGCTTCGCATTTACATTAAGTTACTCGTAAGACACGTATATTACCGCATTACTGTATGCGATCCATACCCATAGATGGCATAAACGGGAAGTGCTGTCTGCAAACATATTCTTTTATATATTAGTACATGCTTTTATACGATAACAGATAACATGATGGGTACCGACAGTTTGGAGTGTGTGTGTATATATATATATATATATATATATATATATATATATATATATATATATATATACTACACATTTGACAGGTTGACTTTTCCTCTAATGCAAAAGAGTTTTCAATCAAAGTTTTTAATCCAAGAAAAGGAATACTGAGTTTACCGGCGTGCCGCTCCATCATGGGACCCAAAGAAGTTTTCCCAAAGCGTGCATAATAACATGGTCCACAGTGTGGTCCGAACCCCGGGCACACAGCTCACCCGTGGTGGACAGCACTGTGCTGGCGAAGAACAGCGCCGACGCCACGTCCCAGTTCCAACCAGCCGACGCGTTGTTCAGCGCCGACACGCCGTAGTTGCCGGCCTCCAGGACTTTAGACAGGAGTGCGTCCAGGCGATCGTCCGCCACACAGTCGTTGTCCCGGAGAAAGCGGAGCTTGATGGCCCGGAGTTCCTGCCGCAGGAGCGCTTCGTACGGCAGCTCCAGCGCGGAGAAGACGGCTGCTCCGAGCGCCAGGTAGACGGCATAGCCGAGGGCGAGGCAGCAGAAGAGGAGCACCGGGCGGCTCTTTGGCTCACACTCCGTCATCGCCGGGGGCTAATGCGCGCTTTTATTAAATGTGCGCTTTTAGAGACGCGTCCTTAATGATGCGCTGTTAAAGGTACACTTTTAAGTAGGAGCCCTGAAAGATGCGCCTTTATATCTTTATATAGATTACCTATTAGTCTGACCATTATGTTGCCTTTAAAATGCCTCTCAGAAAAAACTTGATGGAATTGTGACGTTGCCTCTCCACCTCTTTCTCCTCCAGTCCTTTCTCTTCTCTTCCTATCTTACTCCTTTCCCTTCTCCTCCACTAATTTCCCTTCTCCTCCTATCTTTCTCCTTTCCCTTCTCCTCCCAGCAGATAACTGAGGAATACGGCCAGCAGCCAATTGCACAGGCTTTTCGAAAGAAGCAGTGCACCATGCTAGAGACCTGCCATTGAAAGCAGCACCTCATATATTTGTGGATTTAAAAAGCTATTTATAAATTCAAACAATAGCTATAATTCATCTTTTATGTGTTGAGACAGGGTGAATAACATACAGACCCCATGATTTTGACATAAAACCGGAACTTGAAAGTCAAAGGGCTCTAGATTGACTGAAAGAAAAACAAGTACTCATACTTGTACTTGTACATATGACAATAAAAGAATTGAATTGAGGTTAAGTATACAGGAGGCTGACCTTACGACAGTGAATGAGATTACCATCACTGTAACGCTCATGTGTCACAAAATTACAGCATGATAATAAGTTTTAAACCTCCAATTAAAACACGTCTTACATTTGAATGTTTGTCTCCCCCCAAGATGGTCCACCTTCCTCTCATGATCATCTTCCCTTCCTGCTGATTGCATATCTCTGTATATGCTTACCTATTGACCTTAGTATGGTTTTTGGAGTATGGTTAGTATGGTTATTAGTATGGTTTTTGGAGTGGGCATGTACTATCAAACATTATATGTATGTTTTTTTTTTTTTGCACTGATAATAACTCTCTGCTTCTGTGGCCCTGATTTATATTCTTGATGGACTAGAGGGCACTTTCTGTGTAAGAATATGCCATTATATTAAAATCATCCGCTGAGCAACTTCTGTGAGGATTGGCCGTCTATACTGGCACCACACTGCTGCTCATTCATTCTATTCTATTTATGGCTCCGGCCGTCCTTGGAAGAGAGTGCCAGGAGACAGACTGCATGGCAGTGACGCATTTCAATGTCACAGTGTTACATGTTGTAGATGATGATTTGCTGATTAGAGGAGTAGTACTGTAATCCTGGTAAGTAGAAAATAACACAACGAAGAGAAATATGGTGCATGTGTCATTTTAAGCTCCTCCCCTTTATTATTTACTAGATGCCATAGGTAATGATTTCTATCTGAGGCTAAAGTATTTTGCTTGGGAAGTGGTAGTGTGGCCAGAGAGAGGTGAAGCCGAAAAATCCAGAACTGGGAGAGTTAGAACTGCAGATCTGCAGATTTTGCACCAGCACTTGTGCACATGCATCACACATTAGTGCCTATTAGAACATTTTGATTGGAGGGGGAGAATGGATGTGGCTACAGAAAGGTAGGTAAGGAACAAATGAAGCAGATCACAGCAGTGACCTTGAGGCCAAACTGCATTTAAAAATGACTCCTGTGGAACATTATGAGTCACCGCATGTTACTGGACAGCAATAGAGAAACAGCCCCAACACACACACACGTATACACACACACACACAGAGGTTTGTAATTATATCTTTGTGGGGACTCTCCATTCATTTCTACGGGGAAAATTTGAATCCCAACAATGACAACCTTAACCCCTACCCAGTCCTAGCCTTACCCATGAGTAACCAAACAAAATACAATACTTTTGGCATTTTTAGTTTTTCAATCACACTTACAGATTTGAATAAAATTGAGGTTATCCAAATGGGGAGCTGAAATAATGTCCCCAAAAGTAAGGAAGTCTCAGGTTTTACCACAGTGTGGGGATACTGTGGGGATGGAGTGGGACATTGCTTCTGCATGCATGCTTTAAAAAAAGACCTTTCAGCTGTGCAATCCTCTCGCATCCAGTGCCAGTCAACCCATTAGGTGCCATAGGGTCACAATTTGCATAGCAAAGAAAGTGAGTGAAATTCTCCTGTTTGTAAATGTCCCTCAGCATCTGCTTGCATGTGTCTGTAAGGTGATGAACCTGCAGTCCATCCAGTGTTCTCCTCAGTGAGGCTCCAAGCTCCCTGTGACTCTGCCTTGGATGTTATGGAATAGGGGTAAATGGCTTTTAATTTCCCAGCAGATGGCGCCAGTGTGTCACTTTTGAAATGATGTCCTGCTGTGGCAGATGCATGGTTAGCTAGGATGTTACAAGCCTCCAAGTTCCCTGGTTGTGTGGGAAGCTGGCATGTTCTCCGCATGTTTCTGAGGGTTTCCCTCAGCTTGCTCTCCCCCAAGGCAAAAAACATGCAGTTCGGAGACTTACTGAGGGTGGTGCCAGGCTCTGTGAGTTTATTCTGTCATTAGAAGGTCAGCAATGTGATTTCACTATCATAATTGCTCCAAGGGCTGGTTGATTCTCCAGTATTACTTTGATTTGGGAAAAAACGTCTGCTACTGTAAGTAAACTAATGCAAAAAAAGTACTCAGCTTTACACAATCCAGCTTTTGACTAAAGCTGAGTCTTTTCTCTGCCTGAGTACTTTTGACTCTAGCTAAGTCTTTTCTCTGCCTGAGTACTTTCTTAGAGCTGTAACAGCAAACCATCTCATGGGACGCCTTAGTGTCCTTCTCACAAGTACGCTGTGAGACGTATCCTTCCCCGAATGACAACGATATGGGCACTACCATATTCCTAATCTGGGCTACTTCCCATCAAAACAGTCTTCCTGATACCTGCCAGAAAAAATAAGAAACTAACAGACAAGTGCAGTAGTTGCCATCGTTCTGTGGAAAACAGTGCTGTGGTTTGGGCAGTTTTACAGCGATCTTAAATCATACATTGCAGGAATATGAAAGAACTGACACAGCTGGACAGCCAAGGTATGGAACTGCTGCCAGCTGAGACATAATGTTCTCTGGAGGGTTTATTTACAGACACTGCATTTTCCATATAAGGAAATGATTCCCTTTGCTCAGAAAGAGAGGTAGAACTTTGGAAAACCCTTGTGAGATTTTTAAAATGGGGTATAATAAATCAGTTGGATATTTTTCTTCAAGCAATTTTAATCAGTATAATCCACTGAGAATGCGATGTAAAGTAATTTAAACTGTACAGAATGAATTTTCTTCAAAAGCTAATACCTTTTAAATTGTATATTTAAGAAGAAGTTGTATGTAGTTCTCAAACTCATGCTTAAGGTGGCGAAAGCTCCACAGCTGAGGTCGACATGTTTGGTCGGGTTGCTTTGATGACGGTTGGTGATGCTGCTATCAAATGTCTGTATGGGGTGGCCAGGTGGAGATTCTTCTACCACTTTGAGGGTTGACTAAGCACTACAAACATACGGACATATAAAATCAGAGTCTTAACACCCTATAGGAAAGGAAACAGACATATATTTTTCCAGAAAAATTTTAAAAGTGTCACAACATCATCAACATCACCACTGCTGATGATCAGGCAAACTCACCTCTAGCCAAAGTAGTTTAATGTAGCAGCACAGAAGTAAACAGGTTAGACCATAAGAGTCACAGTCACTTTAGGGAATTATGGGAATTCCTATAGTTAAAGAGGAATAGCTGGCAGGCTTGGCCATCTGGCCTTCTGAGCATTTGCCTGTGGGCCTGGGCATCTGTGGGCTTGTGAAACTTACTGCGGGCAACCTCACTCAGCAAATATTTACTGTAGGGGACCCCCCAGCTTGGCTATATTTATTAAGGGGGGAACCGAAAGTCCAGGGACAATTTTTAATTTCATTTCAACCCTGATGGCCGGCAATGCCTGCTGGGCAAACGAGGACCGAACACATAGGACAGGGGTGGACTAAACAACAGAGGAGTGAAGGCGGAATGGCCGGCAATGTCTGCTGGGCAAACGAGTGAAAAAATCCCGGTGAGAAAAAGGCAGGAGACAGAGAGTGAGTGTCATGACCTGCTCGTACGATGCTCCTGTGTGCCACGCCACCCTCATTTACCTCACGTGAAACCCCGATTGTGACCAGCTGTTTCCTGTTATTTCGGCTTGTCTTGTGTATTTCAGTCCGCGTTCAAGTCTGTCTCCCCAGGTCTGTCATTAACGTGTATACCGTGTCTGTTCGTCTACCCAAATTAAATTCCGTTTCTAGACTTTTGGTTGTGATTCCCCGCTTCCTGCTCATTGGCACTATACATGGTCATCACAGAATGAGAGACCTCCTCGAAGACTCACACCAACGGGGCGAGAGTCAACGCCTTGGCTTGCTCCAGGAAGTAATTTATAGGCTATATCAGCCTGAGGTCCAGGAGGACCCCGTGGTGCTGGACCAAGCCAGCTGGAGTGGGACCCTCCTAAGCGAGCTCCGCCCGAGAACGCGCACCTCGTGAGCAAGGTGTGCGCAAACCTCCGACAGCTAATGCAGTGCGTAACTGAGAAGAGGACCCAGTTAGTCGCGCTGCACAAGGCAGAAGGTGCCGAGCTGTTCATCCTCCCGGAGACGGTCCAACCTCCGCTGACAGCCAATAACCGGAGGAGAAAGAACAAGATGCGAAAATAGAGGAAACCAGTGGAGGAACCAACAATCTTCCTGGGGTTCGTCTCTCTCTCTCCAGCTTCTCTCCCCACTGGCTATCGGGAGGTACCCCTCTCAATCCGGAATCCGGCAGGGCTCACCCCGGACATCACCGCCGCTTCACTCCTGCAGGTGCCCAAAGCCCGCATTGCCACCATAGAGCAGCCGCCTCTCACAGCATACCACTACCGGGAAGCACACCTGCCCGTCGTTCCTGACCTGCCTGTTCTGCCCGTCGTGTCTGACCTGCTGGACCCGGAAGCCGACGTACCGGTCCCAGTGGTTTCAGTTCCAGAGGCGGACGCACCGCCCAGCGAGGCTAAGGTCCTGGCGCCGCCTCCTGCACCACCCGAGGCCCCTGCTACGGCTTCAGCACTGGCCGAGGTCCCGGCTCCACGTGCTGCTGTGCCCGAGGTCCCGCCTCCGCCTGCTGCTGCGCCCGAGGCTCCTGCTACGGCGCCGCCTGCTGCCCCGTCCGAGGCTCCTGCTATGGCGCCACCTGTGGCTCTGCCCACGCCTGATGCTCCAGTCCCCCCAACTCCAGATCGAGTCCCCAAGGAGGTCCTGGACTATCAGAACACTGCTCCTCCCCTCTTGATAGAGGGAGAGGAGGAGCTTGAGTGGGACCCCTCAGGGACATCCCTAATGGCCCCCATGGACTCCTCCAGGAGGAAGACTGCTCCGCCATTGCCCCAACAGAGTCGATCCCGGCCAGGTCCCCGGAAGGGGAGAGGACATCTGTGCAGGGGTCGGGTCCCACCTGCCCTGCCTCCTGGCTCGCCCTGGTCTCCTTGGCTTACTATGGCT